GGGGGGGGGGGGGGGGGGGGGGGGGGGGGGGGGGGGGGGGCACTACTAAAATTGACCGTTGCATAAGCTTGCTTGTTTTCCAAGTTACAATAAAAAGAGAGAATCGGAAAGGTATCTACACAAACCTTTTTTGATTTCCAGCAACGACAGAAAACACTCTTGTCTCCCAGGTCTTCAATTTGAAACGCATCCGCTACTTTTTCCTTTTCTTTTTGATGTGTTTTGTTCACCCACTCCTCTTCTTTCTTAGGCTTCGAGGGCACAAGCGCTGAAATTACCAGGTACACAACGACAGAGGTCGTCACCACAAATGGTACAAGCTGCACCCACTCGCTACCAGAGAGCTTTAGAAATCCCCCAAATGTGGAAGGGATTGGCAGTGATCTGAGATAGTTTGGAAGCTGAATTTTGATGACACGAGATATAACTTCCATTTTGGATTTATTGTCATGTGACCAAGAGGGAGACACGCGAGAATACACGCGCGAAGCGTCGCGCGAAATAAAGTCGAAAAAAACTCGCTTGTTTTTTTCCAGCTCTTCTCTTTTTAAGAAGGAAAGTGACTGAAATTCAAATGCTATCCTTTTTGACGTCTCCCTGATTATTACTGCTTTTTTGGTTACATTTTTGACTCCGAAGCTCTTTCAGCCTCAAGAACACTGGACAGCGGTTTCTCATATTGGGAAAATGTTGTCATGTATGGTGACACTTAAGTAGATTTCATCATGGCGGACGAAGAGAACCTTTCAAATTGTGATCAGGAAACTCCTGTAACAAACAAAAAAGGCAAGCTTCGACAGTGCCTTACACACGTAGCACCTCCTTCAGGGTTCTGTGGACAAATCTTAACTCGCGGCTTTATCGTGTTATTGTGTTGGGCAGTATTATGGTCAATTCTTGGTCAAGAACTTTTACCAGGAGGCAATATCTTCGGAATTTTCAACGTTGTAGTTCTTGCTGCTTTAGGTGGCTTTTTGACGAGAAAACTATCAAGAGATACTTTGCCACCTCTGTTAGGGATGCTTGTTGTGGGATTTATTCTTAGAAATGTGCCAGGAATCAACGTTGCTCGACACATTGACAAGAAATGGTCAGCAACTCTGCGAAGCATGGCGCTTGTTGTCATTTTGACGAGATCTGGTTTGGAACTCGACCCAGGAGCATTACGAAGGCTGAAATTCACTGTAATTCGCTTGGCCTTTTCCCCGTGCATCGGAGAGGCCATCACAGTGGCTGTTGTGGGAAAACTGTTGTTGGACATGCCTTGGCTTTGGGGCTTTCAGCTTGGGTAAGTACATCGGGGGTACATGTAACTAGTGACCAGTCAGTTTAAGCGGTCAGTGTAAAACGCAGACTGCGGAGTGCAGACTGCAGACTGTAGACCGGGATTAAAATGCAAGGGGTGGCAAATGGTCCTTTAAAAACCCATGGTCTCGCAAAATTTTCGCCAAATTTCACGGATCTCGCAGTCTCGATTTTTCTCACAAAGCTGTCTCGCAGTCTCGATTTTTTCAAGGCTAAGAAAGTCGTTAAGTACTGATTTGCTTATTTTTTTTTTATAAAGTTAAATGACATCACAACATCTCAGAACCTGAATGTCTTGAGTTCGCAATTAAAACACTTTAAAGTCTCGGTCTCGCAATTGAAGAAATCAAAATGTCATGGGCTCGCAAAGAAAAATGCTAATCTTGTCGTCTTGCAAAGTCTCGCATTTACCATTCGCCACCCCTAATGCAGACTGAAGGGCCGGGTTGTTCGAAAGCTGGTTAATGCTAATCCAGGATTAAAAGTTAATTGAACTACTCATTTTTCTTGTATAAAAGCGTTTTTTACTGCTTACATTTTGTATAGTTTGAGCTTAGCCAAGCTCAAAACTGAAGTACAAACAGTATAAACAGAAAACCCCACTGAAAAAGTTACTACAACTGAAATAAAAATACTTGCTAATCCTGGGTTAGCTTTATAATCTGGCTTTGAAGAAACTGGCCCAGGGGTAAAATGCAGACTGCAGACTACAGACTTTTTAAGTATATATCTTGTTGTTTCCATCATCGAGTACTGACCATTAAAACAGAGTTATTCAGACCGGTTAGCCTGAATATCACTCGGGTAATAGATTGAATATCACTCCAGTTAGCCTGCATATCATTCAGGATAGCCTAAATAATGCACCGGTTAGCCTGTTTAGGGTTAGCTCTCAATGAGGGAAATAGTAATACAATTCAGTTAAAGAAGTCTACAGTCTGCAGTCTTCATTTTACCCCTGGTCTACGGTCTGCATGTTACCCTCTGAGTCTTCATTTTACGCCAGGTCTGGACTGCAGTCTGCAGACTGCAGATGGTTAGTAAAAAGTGTATATTACATCACTATTTCTATTAACAAGAGCTAACCATAAACAAACTAGTCTAACCTGAGTGATATTCAGGCTAAATGCAGCACAGACTTTCACTCAGCTTACATTATGCCCAGGTTAGCCTGTTTATGGTCCGATAATGGAGATGGTGACATAAGATATACTATAAAAGTCTGCAGTCTGCAGTCTACAGTGTTGCAGTGCAAATAATTTATGTTCCAGTATTTGACAGTTTACTGGAAGCAACACGAAACTTGCAACTCAAATTTGCTCAATTGAAGGGTAAAGGAAGACTACATGTATAAGAAAGTTTTAAAATGTTTTCATGATGTTAAGAAGCTACACATACCAGTAAGTACTGAACAAGCAGGTGGGATTTAATTCACCAAAAGGATGTATTAATTTAGTTGTCTCTGAAGTCTGTCATTGATTGCCAGTCAAACAGTGACCAATATGTGAACATACAGCTATAGGTGTATGTGGTGTTCTCTTTTAATATCAGGTTTGTCCTTGGTGCTGTCACACCAGCTGTTGTAGTTCCTCAGCTGCTCACTCTGCAACAAAAAGGTTTTGGTATCGTACAGGGAATTCCCACTTTAGTTATGGCAGCATCATCATTTGATGATGTCATTGCCATAAGTTTGTTTGGAGTGTTTCTAGGGATTGCTTTTTCAAAAGGTTAGTCACTTGATACACATGGAATATATGGTAAAATTAATATTCATAAAAATTAATTTATATCTTGATTAAAGAGTTGTGCACAGTGTCTTAAACACTGCTGCACTAATTGGAGACATGGAAATTAAACAAGCAAACAAATATTGTAAATTGAACAGAAGCTTGTTAAAAAATTCCAACTGGTGGGAGGCTGATCAGTTGGCTGTCTACAAAGCCAGTAGAGGAGTTGAATATGGGACCACCACACACAAATCAATCTAGCAGCAGGGAGGAGAATTTGAAACCGGGTGCTCCAGATTACAAACCCAGTGCCCTAACCACTAGGCCAATGGCCCTATTCTCCCAGAGGAGAGCTAGGAACGATGATGATGAACCACTAGGCTGCACCACATCCCACAAACAGTTACATGTAACATTGTATTTGACACTACAAACTGCATTAAACTGATGCGTGTGGATGTCTTAATACTTGCACTTAGGAAACATAGTGTTCAACATCTTCAGAGGACCGATTGAGCTGTTAATGGGTGTTGTATTTGGAGGCTTGGTGGGAGTTTTATGTTGGTTTTTACCAAACAAAACTGAGGTAAATATACTTATACATGTATTCAATGTGCATGCACACAGAATATATGCAATGTAGATACAGTAGATGCTGATTGCTTTCTGAAAGATTTGATTTGTTTTCATCTTTCATGTCTTTCATGTCTTCTTTTTACTGCTAGCAAGACAGATCTCGTAACAGATTTGTGATTCTCCTTGGTTGTGCCATGCTCTCAGTGTTTGGTAGTAATGTGGCACAGTTTTCAGGAGCGGGGGCACTTGGTGTTCTTGTAATGGCTACCGTGGCCTCATATGGCTGGGGAGACATAGAGAAGGTTGGTGTAGGTTTAATGTACATTCAGGATCGTCTGAGAAAAAGTCAAGTTTTCTTCGGAGAAAAAATCAAGAATTCAAAAACTATTATTACTAAACAAGAGAGAACATTAAACTGGGCATGACAATGATTGTCCAGAAAGTAATCGTCAGCATCCTAATGGGGGTGGAAAGCAGTTTGTTGCCTGTTTCCATTTTTGTTCACCTCAGTTACTCCAGTACACTCTGTATTAAGAACAGCAAGTTCTAAGTGATAACAAAGATATGGAAATGACCCCAGAAGAAGGTGGTGCACTATTCTTTTTTTTTCAGAATGATCAACTACATGTAGCTCAGTCATTCAGTTCATGATATATTAAGTAATGTTTGTGTTTTCTTATGTGTAGGCTCCTATAGCTGAAGCTATGGCTATAGTATGGGAATTCTTTCAACCTCTGCTGTTTGGTTTGATAGGAGCTGAAGTCAGTATTGAGTACATGGAAAGTACACTCATTGGTATGTAGTACAATATTCTGAGTTTTCCTTAACTACTGTGGAAATACAGTGTATGGCCAGAACATCAAGATGTTGAAAATAATATTTTACTGTTGGAGGAAAATATGAATGAGTAGTTTACACACTGGTGTATTATCAAAAACAGCTTTGGGTTTCTGTCACTCAAATACCATCCAATTACTTAGTATTTGAATTGCTAAATTATGATTACTATACGATAGACTGAGAGATGTTCTTTACAATATCGCAGTAAAGTTAAGTGACAAAATAATAGATTGTCATGTAAAAAGTATTTGCAGTTGATGGTATCAGTGCATTCAACGATTAAATAAAAATATGAGAAAAAATATGGCTGTGATAGTCTAGTTTATTACAATTAAGCAATATCCTTTAGACTCCAGAATTCAGCCTCCTTTTTCCAGCTGGTCTTGGTGCCTTTTACCATGCAGTGATGAAGGGAAAAAGAGCTGTTAAAAATCCCTGTTGTGTCTTTTATTTTCAGGAAAGGCTTTTGGTTTGCTCACCATAGCAGTGGTCATCAGACTGATTGTGACCTTTCTTGTGGTATCTGGAAACAATCTCAGCATCAAGGACAAATTATTTGTGGCCATTGCCTGGTCACCAAAAGCTACAGTCCAGGTGAACAACAGAGTGCAAAGTAATTACGAATAGGGTCATCAAGTACTGTGCAAGGGTCACTCCTGCTGTGAGATGAGTATGCATACCGGCTATAGAGTAATGAGCAGGGATGGGGAGCAGGGGAGCAGGGATGGGGCAGTGGAGAGAGCGCCCACCTCCTACCAATGTGGCCCAGGTTCAATTCTGGTCCGGTGCCATATGTGGGTTGAGCTTGTTGTTGGTTCTTGCCTTGCTCCGAGGGTTTTTCTCCGGGTTCTCCTGTTTTCCTCCCTCCACAAAAACCAACATATCTAAATTCCAATTCGACCAGGATTGAGGACCTGCATCTTCCTCTCTAAATATTGCAAAATAAATCTGTACCTCACAAGGCTGCAAATTTTAACATCAAACGAGCATAGCTATGTCATGAAAAATCGCTTATTTTTGAACTCCGAGTAAGTTTATACACAGCTAAGAAGTTTCAGACGAGATGACCAGCATCAGTCAAAAACGTGAAGAAATTGCTACATGTAGATTACATAGTTGCTACCTGTAAGTTTGGAGAAGTCACTTTATTTTCTGATACTGTGTAATTTATACACGCTGTAGCTGGGTTTTTTTTTTTCTTTTTTTCTTTTTTGGAAATAAATTAAGGCAGGTATACAACTGAAATGAACATACATGTACAAGTGACTGGACCTAATTAAGGTGCTTCAAGAATTATTGCGGTCATCACCTCATCCTTTGTAACTGTTCGGTATTTTCAGGCCGCCATCGGTTCCATGTCACTCGATATCGCTCGGGAACGTGGTTTCACTGGAATGTATCAAGAAGAGCTTGGTATTCAGGTACTTTTAGTTAATAAATTTTAAAAATTGGCAAAGTCACCCTCAAACAAAATCGCTGGCTACCCCCAGCATTGTGCCAGTCACTGGTGGATAGGGGCAAGGTGAGAACACAACACAGTGACCCAGGCCACATCTTGAGCTCACGCCGCTCGATCCAAANTATCGCTCGGGAACGTGGTTTCACTGGAATGTATCAAGAAGAGCTTGGTATTCAGGTACTTTTAGTTAATTAATTTTAAAAATTGGCAAAGTCATTTTCGAACAAAATCGCTGGCTACCCCCAGCATTGTGCCAGTCACTGGTGGATAGGGGCGCCGTGAGAACACAACACAATGACCCAGGCCACGTCTTGAGCTCACGCCGCTCGATCCAAAGTCGAACGCACCAACCATTCCAAGTCTTAGTCATTGGTTCATTATGTATGATGTCATCACAATTCTGTTAACGAGTTACTTCGATTATCAGTTGAGTAAGGCGAGAGAGAGTTTGGTGACGAAGTTTTGGACTTTTTAAAATTAAAAAAACGTTTAAATTAAAAAAAGGCAGACAAATTGCCACTTGAAACGGAGCCCATTCCCCGTAAAAACAACAAAAGTTGAACATTAAAACCTGGTCACCAAACTTTCGTGGCGCCTCACTCGACTGATAATTGTAGTATGGTTCTTAAAAACCTCTTATCTTAGAATATTACACGATTTTCTTGGTTGGCTGAGGCTGCCAACTTCCCATCTCGAAACAAGGACAAAGCAAACTACTTGTAAAATTCTAGGCCGCTTTGCTTTCAAGTAATATATCAAACACGAGAGACAGTGTTTCATCGGGATATCTAAACACCGAGAAGAGAGTTGAAAATACGACGCGCAGCGGAGTATTTTTGACGAAATTCGAAGTGTTTGGATAGCCGATGAAACACTGTCTCGAGTGTTTGATA